AAAAACCCTGACACACTCTTTCTGGTGATAAGACAACTAGCATAATCTGCATCGCTATAGTAGCGGTATACCTTGAAATCGGAACTCTCGTAAACTATTCCATAGTTTGTTGTTCCTCTGTTCGGAATCTATGTTCCCTGTAACCGTCTGATACACTGAGGGAGACAGTGTTCTTTCTCTTTACCACTTTCCACTTCTTCTGGACTTATATGAGCACTGCAACATCTGGAATAAACACTGGGTAACGCCAACTGTCTGTTCTATTATACTGAGCTCTGCTTAAGTGTCCAGTGAATATCGAATAGAGAGCTCCGAAGCTATCACTAGAGCTCGTTGACCCAAGCAAAGTGCTTATTTCGCCCAGGATGCATATTTCGAGCATATGTGCCTGGAAGCAGATCACAATGCTTGTTTCGAGCCCGTTTTTCGTTGGAAAGGTACATTTATGAGGTCATCGAACCCGATGAATTTGATTATCGCTGCGGATTGATACTCCAAAGCTTTCTGAACATTAAGCGGTGCATGCTCCCGGGGTGGGGCATTCTCGACTAGTCGCGAAAAAATCTCTTGATTCGAGAATCGAGAATCGATAGATTCCCGAAGAGAGATCAGCTCCCTAGACATGTCAGGCTCAGAGCCAGAATATAAAAAGAACCTGATACAATGCCCAGTCACGCTGAAAGAGCACGGACAGAAGTACGTAGCCTGGAAATCCCTTATCCCTATCTACCTATCTCAAAATCAAGATGTCGCAGATCTTATTGCTGGGATTCTGGTAATGCCAGAAAAAGGAACGGAACAAAAGAACGAATGGACAACTATTCAAGAAGAACAAGTTAGAAAATAAATTTAAGGCAGCAAATCTACTTGGAAAACAAATTCTCTATTCCTCTATTCACCCAAATCTCGTCATAACTCTTTTCTATGGTGAAACCGAAATTCTCACTGCCAGCGAAATCTATGAAAAGATCAAGAGAAGATTCGCAAACCAAACTGGCATTGTCAAAGATACAGCAATTTCGAGACTCATGTCTTTCAAGTTTCTCAAAAACAAATCAACGGAAGACAATCTCACCATGTTTAAAAACCTCCAAAACAATCTCACTGAAACTGGTTTTATAGTTGCAAATGATATCAAGTGTCCGCGATTCCTTGCGTCACTGCCCAACGAATGGGACTCGCTCAGATTTGCTTGGGCAGCAAGAGCCGAAGCTGATAAGACCTACACATTGCTAGAGGAGGTCCTCAGGGCAGAAGGTGCGAGAAGAGCTCAGGAGCGAGAGGTAGATCAAGCCTCGGCTCTACTTGCACAAACCAGAATCAGCGGCAATCGAAATCTAAATCAGAATCGAAGAGGTAGATTTCACCGACGACCAAGATCCGGCGGCTACCGAAGTTCCGTCCAGCAAACAAACCAACGGAGGGTAACAAATACGCGTAGCAGAACTGAAATCAAGTGCTACAACTGTGGACTAATGGGACACATGCAAAATGTATGCCGCAAGCCGAAGAGGAATCAAAATTCCAGAAACAGGCCAAGGGCCAACGTTGCCGAAGCATTTCCGGCCGACGCCTTTAGCGTCCAGGACAAATCAAATCAATTCCTCATCGACAGCGGAGCATCCCACCACATAGTGAACTCAAAGATCTGGTTCACTGACTTTGACAAGAACACCGACACCCGGGAAGTCAGAGTTGGAAGCAACCACTGCCTGCAGGTTTTCGGGCAGGGTACGATCCGTCTGACTGTCGATGCTCACGGTCAAGCACAAACATTTGATCTTCACAATGTTCTGTTTGTTCCCAAGATGCGGAAGAACTTAATCTCCGTAAGCAAGTTGACTGACGACAAAAGTCAGCATCAGTGGAAGTGGTCTCCCCATGAAAAGGAATGAAGCCACAGTACAGGTTCCTGAGAAAAAGGGACTGTACAGGATCCTGGCTACGACAGCCAATCATTCTCGCGGTCACGGAAATTGTGCACAAGGAAGCACAGACCCGAAAGAAGATGACAGGCATGCAGAAATACCGAAGCGGAGTCTTCGAAGATTCCATGAAATACTGGCACATATCAACCAGGAATATGTTAAAAGGTTTCTCAACCTGAACAAGATAAGCTATCAAGATGATCTAGATCAGTGCCAGAGCTGCATTATGGGGAAGCAAACCAGAAGCTCATATCACAGTCGGCCTGAACAGGCAAAAGCAAAAGAGCCTGGTTCAGTCTCAGCAGACCTTTGTAGCCCGGCAACACTGTCGCTGGGAAACTCACGACATTTTCTTATGATCACAGATGAATTTTCAAAATTCAGAAAGGTCTATTTTCTCCAGACAAAAGATCAGACCGCCGATTCTATCTGACATTACACCCAGTGGTACAAAAATCAAATCGGTCACAACATTAAGCGCTTCCATTCGGATAACGGAACCGAATTCAAACATCAGGAAGTCAAGAAAATTCTTGATGACATTGGTGCGGAGCAAACGTTCAGCAGTGCATACATTGCCATGCAAAATGGCACTGCGCAACGTGGAAACCGCACAGTCATAAATTTGGTCAGATCCGTTCTAATCAGTGCCGGTTTTGAACATAAAAAGTACCTCTGGGCTGAATGTGTCAGCTACTGTGTGGATATACTGAACATCGTATCCATACATGAAGAGCTGAACAAGTCAGCATACGAAATCAGAAATCATATATAAGAAGAAACCCAACATTGGAAAACTCCAACCATTTGGCATGAAATGCTATGTGAGAAGACAACAGCCGAAACTTTGAGCCTCGAGGCGATCCGGGTAGCCTTGTCGGATACTTATGTAGATCATGGCCTCGGATACAGAATCTGGATGCCAGAAACTCAGACGCTCATCAACACCAAGGACGTTGTCTTCGAGAAGCCTACATTGTTTGCACCCAATGAGGACTCAGAGGGACACGCGCCTTCAGAACACGAAGACGAACAAGAAAACACTGAAGTTGACCATGAAAACGAAACACAGCCCACACTCAACACTGAAAACACTGTATCAGAAGAAACTTCTGATGCAACTACGCAACCTTCAGTACCCACACGCAATTAACGTCCCCGAGAACACATTCGCCGTCCATCAAGATACTTGGCAGACGCAAACAATCTAAATACAGAAAACGAACAATGCGACACGGACAGTGAAGATGATGATCCGTCAGTGTTTCAGTCGAAGGCAAGGACGCGTAACGATGAAAATGGTTCGTATCAGCCTACCTCATACAAAGATTCAATGAGCAGGCCAGAAAAAGAAAAATGGCAAGGAGCCATTCGAAAGGAATTAAAATCCATGAAAGTCTTGAAAGTGTGGAAGTTAACTGAGCTGCCACCAGGCAGAAAAGCAATCGATTCAAGATGGATCTTCAAGATCAAAGTGAATCCACAGGACGGTACCAAAATCTACAAGGCGCGTTTGGTATCGCGTGGATTCTTACAGCAAGAAAATGTGGACTTTAGCCCTGATCGGATATTTTCTCCGGTCGCAAGACTTGAGGGCGTCCGCTGTGTCTTAAGCATTGCAGCTGAAGAGAAGCTGTATCTCCATCAATTTAACGTCAAAACGGCCTTTCTCAATGCTGAGCTTAATGACGGAATTTTCATGAAACAACCAGAAGGAAAGGATGATGGATCAAAGAAAGTCTGGAGACTCTTACGTGCCATCTATGGCTTGCGTCAGTCACCGTTCGAGTTCAGCCAGAAATTCAAGTCCATTCTTCTGAAAAAGGGTCTGACTCAAAGCAAAACTGACCCTTGCATTCTCTATCGAAATGGGGCAGAGAGAATCATCATTTGCATCTATGTTGACGATAGCCTGTGCGCAGAAGTAACGAAAAAGATCGTACTTCAGTTCATAGATTCTCTCGGTCAAGAACTTGAGATAACATCACAGCCTCTTTCGTATTTCCTCGGAATGCAAATCGAAACAAACGAGAACCATGATATTGACTCACATCAGACCAAGTACGTGAACGAGGTTCTCAAGCGATTCACCATGTTCGATTGCAAACCTGCTTCAACTCCCTGTGACTCAGGCATTTACAAGATCAAAAATACAGGAACGACCACTCTCGAGAACTTCCGAGAATTGATAGGATCAGTCCTCTACATGACCGGTGGCTGCCGCATCGACGTGGCTTTCGCCACTTCAAATCTCAGTCGTTTCCTAGATAAATGCACACCTGAGCATCTAGAGGCAGGAAAGAGGATACTTCGATACCTGAAGTCATGCCCATCACTCGGTATCACATACAAAAGCAACTCTGACGAGGGAACAGTGGTATTCTCTGACGCGGACCACGGCTCAAACATTGAGGGCAGAAAGTCGACGTCGGGAACACTGATCATGAGACAGTCAGGACTAGTCGTGTGGAACACGACAAGGCAATCAAACATCGCTCTCAGTTCGTGCGAGTCTGAATTCTATGCAGCAGCAGAAAGTGTAAAAGCAGCCCAATGGTTAACCAAACTATTGAGAGAATTAGGCAAAGAAGAAAAACTTACAATTCAAATGGATAACCAAGCAGCAATCAAGCTCATCAAAAATCCTCAGTTCTATCGACGAACAAAACACATCGAACTAACAATAAAATACTTCTTCATCAGAGACCACTACGACAAAGGAGACATCGATATTGCCTACATGCCGACGGAGTACCAGCGAGCCGACTGGCTGACCAAGCCACTCAACAAATCGGTATTCCTGAGACAGCGTGAGCTTTCCGGTCCAACAATCTGGAAAGCATGAGGCTAACAATAGCACCCATCATATTAACCCTCATAGCTAGAGCGCGTCACTTTATGCTCTAGAAATCTCGGAAATATGCATGCGAATATGCGATAAAAACTGTCGAAATATGCTCGAAGGAAACGAAAAATATGCTCTCAATTTACGGACGATCGAGCGAGGAAAAAGCCGGAATTCATCTGTTGAGATATGGTCATGTTTATTAGGACGAAATTCACACGCTTAATTCATTGATTGCACAAAATAATCAAGTGCATCTTCAAACTCTCGAAAGTCAGGCTCTGTCGACGATCTGTGAGGAGATTTTTGAGGAGAGAGAAGCTTCGTTCTACGTCTACAGACGTAATCGGTGCGTACTTGAAACAAGCCACGTCTGATGGGCTGAGAACTACGTTACCGTCAGCAGAGACCCCACCCAGAACGTCGGCGATGACCTTCAACTCGGCCATTCCCGTATTACGCGAAAGCACGAACTCACATTTGTTGCGAATTCGCTCTCCAATCGAGCCCGGCATCCCCTTGAGCTCATCGATGGTTTTGTAGAAATGAGCGATGCTATCAACGAGCGGGCAGGAGCTCGCTTCGAGATTCGTGATGCTGCTTGGCAAAAAGTCCAAGTGCGCATGGATGTAAGAAAGGTTTTCTCTCAGGTTCGGCGACCGCAACAAATCCTGAACAATTAGGATGCTTGCGGCCTGCTTACGATCAAACGAATCAACCACGTTCGCGAACGTATCCAGGTGCTCAGCGTAGTAGAGTGCGGCAGCGACCCACGTCCCCCACCGGGTTATGACCGGCTGGGGTGGAAGGGGCGTACCCGGCGCAAGTTCTCGGAACATGGTGACCCGCGCCGCTAGATTTCAAGAATTATCTTTTCCCGTTTGACACCAGCTTGTCAACTTCGGGGAACAGCAATCTGGCTTCCTCCGCTACTCGATGCAGTGCATGCGCCGCACAAGTTACATGCTTCATGCGGGGAAAAAGCACCTGTAGGGCATTCGCAGCCTTCCTCATATACGGCGCAGCATCCGTCACGAATAGGAGAACCCTTTCGTGATGGACTCCGTTTGGCCAAAGTACATTGAGAGCATTCATGAAGCTTTGGGCGATGGTCGAGTTATTGGTTTTCTCCAGATTGTCTGCGTGGAGTAGGAACTCCTGGACCCGGAAGTTTCCAAAGTTCCGATGATACTATGCGCAACGAATCTTCCGAGAGGGTCTGTTGTCTCATCGATGGAGATCCATATAGATTTGCTTCCAACGAAACTCCTTATGTATTCCATTTTCCCCTCGTATATGCTCTTGATATAGTGCAAGCGTAACGTGATTGATGAAGGGACGTGTTGCTTGCAGTATTTTCCCAAGAAAGCACTGAGCTTTTCATTGTCCAGTTTCCGCAGCGGTATGTCAGCAGATAAAAGTGCATCGCAGAGATCGACGTGAAATTGACTCTGTTTCCCGGTGGCTCCGAGGAACGACTTCATTTGGACGACGGTCGTAGACCCAGACTCTTTCTTCTTCTCGCAAAGCGCCTTGTGTGTAGCTCCTTCGATGTGCTGCTTAACCAAAGACTTCTTGTGCGAAGAGACCACCTTCTCGCACACCTTACACAGGAGTACGTTCCCATCGAACGACAGCACATCCTGGCCGAAAAGAGTCACATAATGCATTTGTCTTGAGGAAGGCGTCTTCGGCATCGTGAACACCTCTGACTCGGAGCGGAGATCGAAACACCACAGCTCTGCAAACCTTCGCTCCGAGTCTTCCCTCGATGAGAACGTGACTTCGAACAGATTTTCAACGGATCGGTATTGCACAAATGATAGTCCCCGACTGGAAGTGCGTTAACAACGGATTAGATAGGGGGATTGTCTTCTGCATGCTGTTCTCCATTGTCAGCTCAATTCTCGGAGTTGGGGAATCCATTCAGGGAGCCAGGAGACTCCTAGGTAGAACTCACCGCGTGCTCGGGGCGGAGGAATCGTCAAAGGGGGAACTTCCGGGCTGATTTCCAATCGACACTGACTTCTGATCGACGATTGAGATAATCTCGTTTCTGAACCCGCGAGCCACTTGCGGCAGAACGACGCCGATCGGTAGACATGCGGATTCGAATGATTTCCGAATCGCTCTAACGTGCACGTCGCTCGATTTTTCTCGAGCTTCGATCTGTGAGAATGTCTGTTGGGACACCATGGTTCGAAGGAAGTTCTGTTCTTGGGTGTAGAGGGCGCTTAGGCAGCATAATATGCTAGGATATGCCTCGAGTCCTTGAATATGCTTTCTTATGAGAAAAGTCCAGGAATAGGCATTTTCATGCTAAATATGCGAAAAGCATGAAGTGACGCGCTCTACTCATAGCCTATGCTCACGGATATTTTTCGTACAATGATTGCGGTGACGAATGCGAATCACGTGGTCAACCATGCCTTAAAAGAAAATCAATCGGAGATATGTTTCACATACAGTGCGTGAGCACTACGGTGTGTCAGGACAATGCTGAGGATGAAACACCTTGCATCTCTGAAGATCAAGCCACGTTGGGAGGCAGAGAATTATGGATCTGGTACAGACAGAGATCAATTCCTCCCAAACCAATTGTAAAAAAAGACTGCGTGATTTGGAAAGTAGTCACTACTGCAGACATTTTATTTTCAACAATCATAACAAGCATATACCTAATAAGGAAGTTGAATAAGAGATTGTGAGCTAGGTATCAAAGAGTACCTGAGCCCACCGAGGATAACCCCTACCGTCCAACGACGGACGATGTGGATTCACCGGTGGAGCCGCAACCTGATGGTGAACAGGTAAACATTTAGTTAGAGGGATCCTTTGAGGAAGACCCACTCCTCTTCTCTTCCTCCAGTTCGGCCACGCGCTTCTGCGCGTCGTTCAGAAGCTCTTGTAGATAGTTGGGACTTTCTCGTTGCACAGACTTCAGTTGGTAGCACAAAACACGCAGGAGATGACTTCAGCAAGGATGCTGCGAGCCCAGTGTTTATTGAAGTGACCAAGACCAGCCTTCATACCTTCACCAGAAAATACAGGAGAGAGAGTATATCTAAAATGGGCCTCTTCTATGTGAGGCGCTTGCTCTTTCGGATACAGGTCCGAGTAGGGGAATACCTATTCTCAACAGCTCTCTCATAACTCCAACCTCTATCCGGTGCGCCCTACGAGTCCTGAGAAGTTTGAGCATAGAGAGTCTCGCTACATTGCGCTCCTCCTCACGCTTCTCATCTTCCAATGGATGATCAAGCCAATAGTAAAGGTTTTCTTCAAGATAGACGTCTTTCATTTCTTCATTGAAAGTACGCCACCTTTCGATGGCCTCGGCGGTGGCGTCTTCGTGATTCTTCCCACCAGAGAACTCAATTTCGTCAACAAGCCTCTGAATGTCCATGAGTCTTCGTTCTCCATCGGAAGGATTTTTTTCACAAAAATACTCCATTAGGTTATGGTTAAGTTCCCTGCTGCGGGCATGGGCTTCCGCCGTCTCCTGATCGACTCCGGCACCGACGATCATGTTGAATGGTGAGGTGTCTGGGTGGGTTGGGAGATTGATGGCTGAACACACTGGGTCACTGTGTGATTTTCGAGCACAGAGGACTTGGAGGCTAGAGGTAGAGTGAATAACATCAAAAACAGCATGTCTTTTATACTAAGCTATAAACGAAGGAATAACGAAGGAAAGAGTGGTGTCTAGAGAGTACTCGAGATCAAGTGAAAAACTCAAGCATGAACGACCGAAAAGCTACGAAACACGGTCCGGGTCTCCCCTCAAATCATAAAACTAACTGTTGAAATCTGTCTTTCCCGTGTTCGTTGTCACTACGCTTAGCTAGACTCCTACGCAGTCTTGCTTCCCTTTCTCTTACTTCAGTGTACGTATATATTACGCGTTCCGCTTCAATAAAGTACTGGGCACTGGGCATAGTCTGATGCTCTGGAGCTGTTACTACTATCTTTTGTGTACCCGAAAAGTGAATACGTTATCAGCGACGATCTGTTCTACCATCCAACTTGCAAGGGAACGTTACGAACTGCCCCACGCCGATTTTTCTGAAACTTTGCCCAAATAATAGTCCCACCGAGAGATGAAGAACCCCCACCATGCGAGCTGCCAACGCTCGATAGGGAGAGAATAAATCCGAGGTGTATTTCCAGGGTTTTTCACCGTATAAGGGTGTTTTTTCGAAGAAGAGATTCAAGAATGATGCCAGATAATTCGGGAAGCACTCTGCCCGAGAAAAAGGAAGCCGACTGGACCTCCCGGCTTCCGGACAATCGAACGACCATATGTTCATTGCGTATTTTCGTTGCAGAAATGATAATCGGAATAGAAACACTTGACACATAGTGTCTTTTTACAATAGCCACAGATTATGAACGGCCACAGCGAACAGCTCGCCGAGCAACACGCTTCGTTCACATCGGAGAGCATCTCTGCCAGGCTCGGAAACTCTACCCGTGGGGCATCGAAACCGCTCCTACGCCAGGCACCCAGCCTCATCGGTCGGAATTGCGGATGACAAAACTGAATGAATATCAAGGACTGCGACCGGAGAACATCGTTTCCAAGAAGGACTAGCAGTGAACTCTGCCCGAGCTCCCTAGCTTTAGTGAGCGCCCATATCCTCAACGTTCCGTCATGCACGATCAGGCCATGCGCGCGGG